TTCATTAAAAAAGCAAACCATAACATTCGTTTGTTCAAAACAAAACATAAAAACCTACTAATTAAGTTCTTCATAAAAAGACCACAAGCGGTCAACAAGAGCGGCACGCAGGCCGAAAATAAGCTACTTCCCAGGAGAAGGATCGGCAGACAAGTCCACCACGGCCACCGCCGAGGGTTCCACCACCGCCCCGGCACCTTCGCCGGCCTCGCCACCCGCGTCCGCCTCGGCCCCGACGTCGCCCTCGACGGCCTTCAAGGATCCGGCCTCATGGTCATGAGTCCCCCGCAGAATCCGGGAGGTGTCGGCCTCGTCTGCAAAGTCTCGGCTCGGCAACAGGAAAGGCATATAGTCGGAGAGGGCCTCGCCCGGCTTCAGGCGCATCTCGTCGGGAGGCGTCGCGCCGAAGTTGGCGAAACCAACGATCTCGTCCTCCGTCCATCCCCTCTGCCGGCGCAACAGAGCTGCCTCCTCCTCGTCCACCTCGCAGACGAGTCCCTCGAACTCGGCATCCAGTCCGTGCTTGGAGATTTTCGCCCGCATAATTGCGCGGAAGTCCTCCAAGGTCAACAGACCGGCGTCGAGCCGCTGGAAGAGCCAATAAAGATTGTAGCCGACCCCGGAGTCCATGTCGGCCATGATATCCTTGCTAAATATCTCCTGAACCTCCGGGTAAGTCGGCAGACGGAGCGAAACGTGGGGGCGGCCGTCCTCGGGAGCCTCCTGGATGACGTGCTTCTCCAGCTCGGCAGTGTGTGCTTCAAGCTGCTTCTGAAGGCTGATGATGTGGGCTTGGAGCTTATCGAGCTCGGCCACATGCCGATCAAACTCCTCAGTCATGGCCTTAGCGTGCTGCTCCCCCAGCTCAAACTCTCGGGCCGCCCAGGCCGCCCTCTCCTTCCTCAGCTCCTCGGCCATCCTGGCCTGCGACCGAGCAGCCTCCAACTCCTTCTCCTTGGCCTTCGCCGCCTCGGCCTCAGCCAGCACCAGGCGGTTCTCCAGCTCGGAGGCCCGCTTTGCCTTTGTCTTCAGGGAGGCAATCTTCCCCTGGCAGAGTTCGTGGTCGGCCTCCAGTTTGCGGTGGTCGGCCAGGGCCCTCTGGGACCGATCGGCGGCCTGGACGAGCTCGACCAAGGCGCGGGAGATGGTCCCCGCCGCATGATGGATGAGCGACGGGGTGGAGAGCTGGGTGGCGGCTGCCTGAGCGGTCGGGGTCCAAGCGACCAACGGGAGCCGAGCCGCCCTGATCATCTCCTCCGGAACCCCGAACTGGTTGGGGACAACCACCCCCTCGGCCGAGCGGAGGTCCAAAAACCAGTCATCCGGGAAGCCGGGCAGGGACTTAGCAAAACGAGCTGGGGGACAGCAGGGACGGTGCTCGGCTCCGTAGGGGTCGGCACGTCGGCAGCTTTCGGGGCCGGCTCCTTGTTGAGCGCCGCCCTCTTCTTGGCAAGGTTCAGACGACCAGACATGGCAGCTTTTGTTCTTGTCTTGAGTGGGTTCGGGTGCTTTCGTCGGTGTTTGTTGGCAGCCTTCACAGAATCGAATCCCTTGAGCCTAAGAAGAGGGTAGTAGACTGCAAATAAAGTTAAGGGCGCGGTCAGTACCGAGCAGGCTACGAAGAATAAAATGACCAACAAAGTGCCGAGTCGGGTTAAGAAGCTACATGGTTCAAAAGATTTGTCGACAATTTCCGGGCTAAGGTTGTGATTGAGGAGGCTCTCTTCTTTGACGAGGGCGGAATAGCGGCGGTCCTCTTCGTTTCGCGCCAACAAGGTGCTGAGTCGCTCGGCCAGGCGTGGACTGAGTGCCGAGCTGTGAGTATGGACTGAAAACGCAAAGTATGACCTGTTAGCACAGAGGAGAGCAAATCAGTTGGTGACGGATAAGAAAATAAAAACTTACGAGTATGAGAAATGAAATGAGTAGGTGGGTGCCGAGTAGCGTCCGGAGTCCTCCACTTGCCGCCGACCCAAAACCAGTGCGGCATGTAGCCATGCAGGGTCTCGGGCAACTTGGCCACCAACGTTTTGTCGATGCCGGGCAGCACCGAGCTGTAGTAATTGCCGGTCTCACCGGCGCGCTTGAAAGCGAACAAGGACCTCACCTCGTCGTCCGTGGGGTCGGCCCAACCCTCACGACCGTACATGACGATCAAACTCATCAGGCACGCAAACACTGTCGGCACATATTGACTGATGCCGACCTCAAGTCCGCTCAAAATATCGTTGAGAGCACTGGGCAGGGGAAACCGAAGGCCTAAGTGGATGCTGTGACGGTAGACCCCTATACAGCCCGGCGGCGGGCAATGAATCCTCTCTCCGGGATAGGGTGCGAACAGCCGAACGCCAGGGCCGAAGTTAAACTTTCCCCTCAGCTGAGCCAGATCGGCGTCATCCAGGATCGACGCCGTGTTCCAGGCCGTTGCCTGACTCGGTGTTGCCCGGATCCGTTCAGGTCGGCGCCAAAACCCCGGAGGAACGGTGGTCACCTCCTCGAGGGCGGCGTCAAACGACGCGTCCCCCATGGGGACGCGCTCCCGACCGCCGGTTTCCCCTTGAAGGGTCTCATCAACCAGATCTGGATCGACATCGGAGTCAGTGTCCAGAAAATCGAGGTCGACATCGTCGTCGTCAACTGCCGCCAAAGGATCGAGGTCTGCATCGTTCCCTTCGCGCAGCGGTGACAAAGGAGGGTTGGCTTCGGCACCTCCGCCACCGGAGGCGATTTCGACCGCCGAAGGATCCGGTCGAATCACAGAGATAGGGACGGCGGTAAGGATAACGTCCGCCTGCCGGAAGGAATCGCCACCCTCACCGGCGAAGTCGCCGCCGTCGCCCGTAGATCTCGGAGAAGAAGACATCCCAATCGAAAAAGACAAGGAAAGAAGAAATAAGAGAGGAAGGTAAGAATTACCGAAGGATGGCCGGAAATCGTCGCCGGAAATTCTTGGGAGGTGCTCGGAAATCGCAAAGCTCGACAGATCCGAAAAGAGAAGTCGCAAGAGTTCTTGGGAAAAGTGAAGAGAAATTCTGAAAAAGAGATATATATAAGATTCCCAAACCAATCGGAAGTGGACACGTGGACGGGCCTTTTGAAATTCAAAATTCGAAACGGCCTAAGTAACTGAAGCGTCCTGTGAAAGATAACCGTCACCCACCTTCTGGTCAACCGTTACGTCCGTTCGAAATGCGTGGCCCTTAATCAGCCACGTGTCCCCCCACAGTGTGAATGCAGTTAACGCGCGTCCACAGTCTTCGGCCGTTACGCCCCACGTTCCACACTGCCAACCTTTGCGCCCCCACGATTGTCAAGTGCGGTGGAAATGCCGACCTTGAAGGAGACGAGCACGAATTCGAGAGGTTAGCACAGATTTGTTGGGTCCAGCTCGGATCCGATCGATCAAAGACGACCTCAGGAAAGGTCCAATGGACCTCACCCAAGCTCGGGGGCCTGTATGTTGATACCCGAGCCCGGCCCCAATATGAGTACCGGTCCGACGAATTAAGAACCGAGTGATTGCCGGCCGAACCGAAGAAGTCGGCACCTGAAACCGATCATAGGTGCCGAGCTTGAAAGGTATCAGAGTTGTCGGGAATGATGAGGGGACCCGGTCCCGAGCTCGGCGCGACACTCATTAAGATACGAGTTCGGCACCCCGTTCGAACCCTAACCGGGGCGGCTCCTGATGAAAGTGCGACGCCGGGTACAATAAAATAATGCCACTTGTCCACGAATGATTGCCGATGGGACGTCCAGCTCAGCCAAAACGTATCCGCATTTAATGCGGCCCACGCTAGCATTAAATGTATGTTAGGCAATGATTGGAGAATCCGGAAATCACTCCCAATCAGTCAGGGAAGCGCCGGCTAGTCCCATTGAATTACTGTACGACAAGATCGTTGAACAGTACCCGAACAGTGCGATATTAAAAGCTACTATAAATAGCAACCCACTTCATTTATTCTGGGTTGTTGAATCCCCAACTACTCAAGCTTATATTTTCTCTCTCTAAAGAACTTGTAAGAAATTCTTGTAAGTAATATAAGTATATCACAAGTGCCGACCTCGTACGAGAGGCCGACCTCGTGACCCGTTAATAAAACCGTAATTAAACCGTATTTCTTTGTCTTTTCCTCATTTTCTTTCCATCATTTGACTTTTTAACCGTTGACCGGAAACGTCCGTCAATAATTGACTTTTCAACTTACTAAATTTCGTAAATGGTACACTTTATTATATAAGTATAGATAAGCAATGATAAAATTGCAAAATATAGAATGCTTATATGGTCAAATAAGTAATAATAAAAATGCAAAATATGCTCAGTAAATTTATTGAACAGATTTGTCTTAAATTGCTGGTCATGTGTTAAATTATTTTTCAATAAATAACGAAGACAACTAGGATTACATAAATGGACGCTGGTGATCAGACAAGATGTTACCAAGTCATATTTTTTTTTTTCAAACTTCCAATTCAGATCAAGTTGCATTAATGCAAGGTGGCGGCCAAATTAAGCAATTTTGTTTCCACATATACAAAGATAATAAGTTCAAATATGTGGTTCAACTAATTGTAAAAACCAATTATTATTTTAAGTTGTAAGTGTAATTCCATTTAAAATGATACATCATGATATCACCATATATATAATAGAAAAAGAATCATGCAATATTATGACTGACTTTTATTAGATTCTAAATTTCTAATATAACCACTTGCAACACGTTCAACTATTAATTCATAGAAAATAATAATAATAATATTATTACACAAATAAATGTCAAGTTTTGGCAGTGGATACATAGGAAACTTTAAGTTTGACTCAATTGACAGTTGACATTTTGCTGTCTGCATTACAATATGTAGACTAAGATGGATGAATTTCTCATAATTATTTATTTTATTATATTTACTTTTTTATTTATTTAAGTGTTGTATTATTGTCTAAGTCAAACATGAGACTTGGCTATAAAAATGGCACGCTGCTAGCTATCTAGCTACAAGGGCACTTGAAATTAATTCCAGAATTTTAGTTAATTCATTACATATCATTGAAAGAAGCAAAGGATGATTAAGTTTTTGCATAGTGAAGTTGAAAAATTCCAAGCTCAAGCAAAAATGGAGGTAAATTATTTTGGTGTTCATCAATTTCTCTTTTAATAGATACTATATATTGTTGTGTCAATTTGGATTATTGATTAATTCATTTCATAAGTATATATGCTTATACATATTCTTCAAGCCCTTTTTTTTTTCATCTTTCCATATACATTAAGTCTTGAATCAAATTATTTTTTTACCTTGATGAAGTCGAGTCAAGTGAAGATAGACGCCGTTAGACGCGAAAACGAACGATTGAAAATTAAAATATCGCAAATGACGAAAGATTGCGACTCTCTAAAGATGCAAATCCACGATCATTCAGTTCGACTTGACCAAATTCACCATCAGCCACGAAAATTCACAAGCCCAGGCGAGCAAGCGAATGACCTCGTTGCTTTGAACCTCGGGAGATTTTTTGATGATTCAAAGTTCGCCGAGCTGGAAATTATAAATATCAATCACGAAATTAACGAAAGTGGAAAGGACGGACTAAGCAAGCTCGGAAAACTCGAACTAAGTCTCGATTGCAAGTCTCAATCACGAGATAGCTTTCTTGACGAACCAAATGTAGAAGAAAATAACGCGTCAGACAAGTGCAAAAGTCGAAAAGCTTCAAGAAGCGGATTGGAAGATCACGAGATTAATTTGGAAATGAAGCCTTTGAAGAAGCCTAGGGTTTCCATTAGGGCTATGTGTGACACCCAAAATGTAAGTCCTAAGTATATTAAATATATATTTTTAAATGTTTACTATACATTTTGAATAAATTTATTGACTATGTTATAGATTTAATTTTTTTAATTCTTTGGGATGTTTTTAGATGAATGATGGATGCCAATGGAGAAAATATGGACAGAAAATAGCAAAAGGGAATCCATGCCCTCGAGCCTATTATCGGTGCACGATTTCCCCCACTTGCCCGGTTAGAAAACAGGTGTGTTTATTAATTATCAATTTTGAATTAAGCTGCTTTAGCATCATGTTTTGACATATAATGGAAAATGATATGCAAATGTAGGAATAATTGATTTTAAATTGATGATATTATGTGTATTATGTCAAAATTTATACCAATCATTATGTTACTAAATAGAGGTACATTCATAAAATAAAGTCATTATTGATCATATATATATATATATATATATATATATAATCACATAAATTACATTATTCATATGTTGAATAAAGTCATTATCGATAAATTACATTATTCATATATTGAATTAAAATGCTTCGATTTTTCTTTTATTTAACTTAATTATAACATAAATATTACAATATTATGTATGATGTATGACTTTTTTCCTGATTCATAAAGTATGTTACATACATTCATATTCAAATGTCGTACTTAAATTATCTAAATACTATAATATTGTATGTATATGATTTTTTTTCTAATAAAATATGACTAGCTAATAGATTACGCAGCTTAATAGCATAATCTATAAATCAATTGCGCAGGTACAAAGATGTCGCGAAAACATGTCCATACTAACCACCACCTACGAAGGGACCCACAACCACCCCCTCCCGCCGTCGGCCACGGCAATGGCCACCGCCACATCATCAGCCCTCTCAATGCTCACGTGCGGCCCCACCACCACCACCTCATCAACTGCCTCGACCACAAACAAATCTAATAATCTCTTAAGATTCGATTTCTCTACTAACAAATCGGATAAACTTTCGACATCGTTTTTCCCTCGAGCCTCCATCACAACATTGCAGTCGCACCCTACTGTTATCCTGGACCTCACCGCACCGAATCAAATCCCAACTCCGTACAAAAAACCTCCACTTTCGACATTTTCTTCTTCTTCGTCTTCTTCTTCGTGTCTAGATTTTTCGAGCTTTTATAGTAAAGGTCAAAATTGTAGTCATAAGAGCAACCAATTTGCACTTCAATCGGCATTATTAGAAGCTGCAATTACATCGGTTGTTGGCAATGGCGTTGTTACTACTAATCATATTAGCTTTTCAGATGCATTGGTGGATAGCGGGGCTATGATCGGGTGTGGCGCGGGCTACTGGGACAAAATTATCCAGTACTCGTTGGATTCACAGCAAAAGAACGTTGCATCTTTTCAACCGTTCTAATTAGGCTACAATTATTATTATTATTATTATTATTATCATTATTATTATTATTATTATTTTTTTTTGGATTAAAAAGTTTGTACCAAGTCTTTTAGGATGGGTTGTAATTTTTTAGGATACTTGTTTGTATATATTTATTTGTTTAATTTGGGTTTTGACCGACTTTTTGGTTTTTTTAATGTAATTTGAAATTTGATTAAACGCAACAATTTAGTATGTACTGTTTCACATTAGTGCACCTGGTTGCAATTTAGCCAGATAAAGCATATAATGAGATTCATAATTGTATATTTTATTGTATAGGGTAAGCCTCACGAGTAATTAACATGTGACTATTTTATATTAATTGAAATAAGAAAAACAATGAAGATTGATATTTTAGAATCTAATTAAATAATGCAAAGATTTTATGGTGCCCATTAATGATTTTTTTATGGACCCATCAATCAATTAATGTATTGACACTTGTCCAAAATATATTTATTGTAAGACACGTGTCAATATACTATTTGTGGATAACTGTGGATGACTTCATAAGCTGAGATTCCATAGCAAAACTGCTAAATAAGAAACAACTATATATAAAATAAAATAGCAAAAGAAAAAAGTAAAATATATGAGAGGAGTTTTTAGTCCTCGACTCAGTTATATTTACTATTAGGTAATCAGAATGTCTTGACAAGCAATCTCTTAATTGATTTTTATATTTAATTAAAATAAACTCTTTGACAAAACTTAACTAATGAATAATCCCTCAAATTGTAATGCTTTAGCGACTTTGATATCTTAAAAAAAGGTTTATAGTTAGCAAGATAAACTCGTACTTTTTAAATTATGTCCATTAATCTACCTTAACGATGCACACTCTGTAATTTACAATTATAGAATCAAAATAAATAAAAATTACGAATTAAAGTTTCTAACATAACAAATGAACTACGAACATTCATTGTAGTAGACTTAACTAAATTAAATAACTACAATTCATAAGCCATAGAGTAGATGTTATAAATATACTAATCAAAATAAATAAGACGTATTATTAATCAAAAGATAAGCATCAAATTTAAATTAAAGAATACTATAGATATAACCTAACATAATATACGTAAATCAAAAGAGAATTGGTATATCCTCGCATAAGAGTTCGTGATAACAATATTTTTTTAAGACAGAAAATTATTGTGATTAATCGACTTTGACTTAGAATTGGTAAATCCATAGATATTATTAACTTTTGTAAATAGAATTTTACCCACGAAAAAGTTGGGAATGGAAATTGATAGTAGTAGTTAATTAAGACGAAAAGCCGAAATGGATGCATACCAGAAAAGGTCAACTTTGACCAAACTGTTTCCCATGTCACCTCATATTGTCCTGACAGGTGTCTTACATTCTTACACCTGGCGAATCCCACGTGTCCTCAAGCAAAAGAAAAACAAAAGAGAAACAAATGTCAAAAGATCCATTTACTTGTGATCTGTTCACTGAAAACCTATCTTCAACTAATTTTCACAAGCAGGAAAACCAAGATCACTGCAAAGAGGTAACTCTGTTTTGCCCTTAATTTGTTAAATTTTTCTTTTTTATCCAGTTTTTGCTATTAACACTGATAGTTAATTCTGGTAGACATTGATGAAAAGATGGGTATAAGGATAGTATATTGTAGAGTGTAATCTTAATCTTGTGTCAAGAAATTTTGATAATTGTGGTAAAGAAAACAAAAGGTGTGTCTAAAAATGAGTTATGACCCAAATTAACATCCTCAATCAATTTCTTTACCAAATTCGAATTTCGAAATTCATTCATTCATTCAAGTCTAACAGAGCTTTCCTTGAAATGGTACATAGGAATGGAATATCAAGCACAAGAGCCAAAGACTGCCACAAAAGGCGAAAGCTACGATGCCTATTTCGAGATCGTACAAAGCCGAAAAAAGCTGCCCCACAATCTACAGGAGTCCCTAACTGCCTCTTTTGCCAGAATTCCGGTTTCGTCCTTCCCTAAAGTCGCCGGCGGTAAAGGTATACATTGCCCCTTCACAAATTCTTGAGGTGGGATGGCCTAATCGTTAGGCAGGTCCATCCGTGAGACTCTTATGGATAAAAATTCATATTCTTGTTTATTATTCTTGCTTGTGTTGTTATTTTAAAGTATGACACTTTCGTATTTGTGAAAAGATCAATACTGCATATTGCCTAATGGTATTAGGTCAGTCTAACAACAAAACTAGAATTAAGCTACTCTTGACACAATTATTTAACATGATGGATGATCGATTAATAGTTGTTTATTTTAAAAGTGATGTGATGTGTAGAGTAGAAGGAGGATCGTGACCTTTTTTATTTCACCTTGAAAAGGGTGTTGAAAACCGCGTATTTTGAACTTACTTTCAAATTTTATGTCATCTCTTATGCCTATGTTGCTATAGCATGATTCATAGAAATATTTACCGTACGTACAGAACGTCACGTCACGTGTACATCTATGACATCACCTCCACTTAAATTTTTCTAGTTATTGAAATTTATGCCGACACGTTGATAATCAACGCCGTGAAAATACTGTCGGAGTCGAACATACTCTCGGCCCCGGTGGTGGACCCCGACGCTCGGGACAGCATGGACTGGCGGAGGAGGTATCTCGGGATAGTCGACTACTCGGCCATCATCCTTTGGGTACTGCAGAACGCGATGGGGAAGGACGCCCCGACCGCGGCCGGGGAGCTTGGCGAGGATTTCTACAAGGTCATGCTTCACGAGGAGCCCTTTAAGTCGGCCACGGTAGAATTTTTTATTTTGTTTTATTTTTTATTTTGTTGTGTTGATGATTTGGTGTCTTAGTAAGAATTGTGATTTGTGTTGCGTAATTGGAATGACAATCGTGCTTCACGAGGAGCCCTTTAAGTCGGCTAAGGTAGATTTTTAGTTGTTTTGTGTGTGTTTTTCTTTGTCGTGTGGGTGGTTGATTGGTGTTTTTAGTAAGAAATGTGATTTGTGTTGCGTAATTGAAGCAAAAACCATGCTTCACGAGAAGCCCTTTAAGTAGGCAACCGTAGATTTTCAGGTTCTTTGTGTATTTTTCTTTGTCGTGTGGATGATTTGGTGTTTTTAGTAAGAATTGTGATTTGTGTTGTGTAATTGAAATGAAAATCATGCTTCACGAGTAGCCCTTTAAGTCAGCTACCGACTTGGTAATAATTTTGATTTGTGTTACAAACGGTAGATTTTTAGTTGTTTTGTTTCTTAACTTTGTCGTTTAGATGATTTGGTGTTCTAGTAAGAATTGACTATGTGTTGCGTAGTTGAAATGAAAAAAAGGTCGATTTTTGTGATTATTGGGCATTTGTGCAGGTGAGGTCGATCTTAAAATCTTATCGGTGGGCCCCATTCGTGCCTGTGGCTCCCGACAGCTCAATGCTGAGCGTCATGTTACTGCTGTCAAAGTACAGGTTACGTAACGTGCCAGTGATCCAAACGGGTCGCCCGACAATCGAGAACTTCATAACTCAATCGGCCGTTGTGCTTGGCCTTCAGGGATGTAAAGGCAGGGATTGGTTCGACTGCATTTCGCACCACTCGTTAGCCGAGCTCGGGCTGCCCTTTATGTCTCCTGATCAGGTTCGCAAAGAACACGAAAAAATAACCATTTTTGCGAAAAAAAAGTTGAGCCCTTTTGACGTTTATTTATGTTTGTGTGCTTGGCTTAGGTTGTGGGGGTTAGGGACGACGAGTTAATTCTTGAAGCGTTCAAGAAAATGAAAGAGAGGGAAATTGGAGGGCTTCCGGTTATGGAAGGTGAGTCAAGGAAAATCGTGGGCAACATAAGCATAAGGGATATTAGGTTCTTGATGCTCAAACCCGAGCTCTTCTCGAATTTCAGGTACAATACAATTAGTGATGCTGTTAAATTAAACTAGTTTGGCTCGGCTCGTTTGATAAATGAGCCGAGCTCGAGCGCATTTAAAGCTCTAAGTTAACGACGAATATTGCAGGGGAGTTACGGTGAAGGACTTCATACAGATGGTTAGCTTGGCAACAAACGACCCAGGGAGGACAGTAACACCGATAACGTGCAATCCCGAGTCGACACTTGGCAGCGTGATAGACACTCTTGCTTCCAGAGGGGTCCACAGGATCTACGTGGTCCGCGACACGGGCAACGAGGTTCTTGGCGTGATCACACTCAGGGACGTCATCTCGTGCTTCATAAACGAGCCCAAAAACTACTTTGACGACTATTTCGGCTTCTCAGCTCAAGAGATACTGAGCCAGTGATCTGTTGCTTTGAAATAAAGACATAAGGATAAATTTTCCTTTTTCTGTTTTGTTCTGTTTTTTTGCTTTGCTGTTGCTTTTGAAATGAAGGAAAATTATATATGTTTCAACCAGGTGACTATCTTGGATTAGTTTTTGAGTTTTTTGTGGGAATTAAATCACTTTTATATATGAAACTTGTTTGTTGATTGATATCTTCTTGATTTGAGATATTTAGGCCAAGTACAGTACTCTTTTTCATGATAATGTTTGTTAAAAACCTTCATTGACAATCAAATCTACTTATCAAATAAATTATAAAGATTTCAACTTATTGGCCACAAGAGAAATTCTAATCAATTAGAAAAAGCACAAAATAATTCTTTGAATCAAACAATAGTTACAAATTAAATCAATCAATATGCATACAGTTAGACTGTCTTTATACACACATTTTCTTTTCGTTTCGGTTCAGTTAGTTTCCCAATAGACAAAACCTAATAACTAGCTCGTCGGCAACTCGTAACGGCACACGGGACAATAATGGCTCGTCCGAAGCCACTTGTCGACACACCCCTCGTGAAAATCGTGCCCGCACGGCATTCCGACCACTTCACATCCCTTCTCGAACTCGTCCATGCAAATCACGCACGACCCGCCAGTCGAGCCATCGTCCCACTCCCTCTTCCCCACAACCATCACGTCTCGTATACACGTCTCGTCAGTCGGGACCATACCAACCCCCTCCATCGACTGGTCCATGACATCATCATCATCATATACATCATCATCATATTCATCGTCATCGTCGTAATCATGCTCGGCATAACTATAGTAGTCCGCCGTCACGTGGTATTCCACCTCGAGCCCGCCGTGGGCCCGGGCCTCCGCCGGGCCCATGCACGTGATGGCTTCTTGGGCCCCCGCGAGTAGCTTGTCCGCCAGGATCTGGCGGCTGTCGGGCGGGATGCAGGGCCACCGGGCCTGGATAAGGTCAAGAATGGTGCGGTGGGCCGGATCGGGTCGGTGGAGGTCGGTGACCGGGATGTGGTGCTGGAGACAGGGGAGGGTGTCGTTGAAGTCGGGTAGGGGCGGGTTGGGCGGGTCAAGGACTGTGCCGCGGCAGACGCCGGAGAGTTTGAGGCGGACGGTGAAGTGGGTCGGGTCGGAGATCGGAGGGCCTTGGAGGAGGAAGATCCGGGGGACGGCTTTGAGGGAGAAAGTGCAGAGGTAATCAGATTCAGATGGATTTTGAGCCATTTTGGCGTAATTTTTTATTTATTTATTTATTTTTTCCTGAAGGGACTGTTATTATTATATTATATATATATAAGTAGTGGTGACTAGAGAGGTTTATTTGGGTTTCCTAATTGGAATGGGGATGGGTAAACCGACGGGCAAGTTGGATTTATAATAGGAAATATTTTTCACTCATGTATTTGTTATTATAATATATATAACTTTATATATAACTGTAGCAAAAGTTATAATAAAACCTAAAAAACGTACCAAATTTATATCACTAATAATTTTTTTTGTTCTTTTAAGGAAAGGTTTTAGAACAACTTATTATCCAATCATTTTTTCTATTATAGAGATTCTTGTGGAATTCAGTGCAACATGATTTCAGCTACTAATTTACATTACAAGAAAATAATGAAATTTCAAAGAAAATTCCAACGAAAATATATTCCAATTGAATTGTAACAACAATTTCAATGAATAATCCAATGCTATTATTTTATTTAGAATTTTACAACGGAAATTTCAACGAAAAATATTCCATTGTAATGATTTTTCTATTGGAATTTCCGTTGGATTTTGACGATTCAAACTGTAGATTTTTCAACGGAAATGGAAATCTATATATATATAATTGCTAGCTAACCTCATTTAATAAAACATTTAATAAAAATATTTTCATTTTCCCTTCAAAAGAAGTTACATTTTTTTAAATAATTACTCATTAATCTCACATTTAAGAAGGTTTCTTTTAGTTAAATTTAATTAGTTAATGACTAAATTAAAAAAATTTCTTTTAGTTAATCTCACATTTATGTTTCTTATTCTCATTTATATATATAAACGTGACAGTCATTATTGTTGTGCAGAAACTATTTATTATTATTTTTTATTTCATTATGAATTGAATAAGCAATTAAAGTTATAAGAAATATTAATAAATGTATTAATTACAAACATTATAATACATATCATGTTACATTACAATATAAAAAATGAAATTATTTTTTTTGCAATTTAATTTCCAGCCATACTCAATCAAATATATAACTACAAAATGATAAGAAAGATTAGTTTCATAATTAAAATTAAAAATTTAGCTCCCCAAATGGTAAAACCTTATAAATTAGTAGTATAGATGCATTTAAATGACATATAATTTATAAACTTAGACTATACGCATAATAAGATGAATTAATATGAATTAAATAAATAAATTATTATTATAACACAGTCTATATAATTTTTATAGCAAAGTCTATATTGTCTAATTATCATTTATAAAGTTCATTGAAAAAACATATGTATAAAATAAATCCATATGATCATAATTAATAGTGCAAAATTAACATTCTTTGACTTTCTATTTGGTAGTAATAATAAAATATTTTATATACTATTCAATAAAATGCATGATTTTTGCATATTTGATTATCGCAATCAACATTCTTTTTTTATAAATTAAAAAGTGTCTTGAATCAATTGTCTCATATTTTTCATTAAAACAAAATAACTGTTGGCCGTGAAAAAAAATATTATTTCACAATTATAAATATAAAAATGATTAATTTTCATTAAACAATTCCTCTTTAAGAAAAAAGTGGCGGGACAAATTTCAGCATGATTATAGCATCAAAACATATCTAAAACATCAATATTTTAATGAATGAAAAACATACTTTCAGCAATAGAAAAGTCATATTAAACGGAAATTGGCAAAGTCAAAGAATGAGAATTGCAAGGCATTGTATGTAATGGCAGATTGTTGCATAATATAGAAATATCAACCATAATTAATAATCAACAAAAAAAGTCAAATCTACATGAAAAAATCAAAATTAAAAACACAGCAAATATGTGGAACATTATTGAACACTATACAATATAGAAAGAAAAATAATTTGATTTCTCTATCATTATCAACATATTCAACTTTTACCAAGACATCTGCATTTATATTAAAATCGATTTTTTTTGCGTAAAAGTTTTAAAAATAAAAATTCCTACAGATTCTTTTAAACATTAAACAAGAAATTCCTAATATGCGATAAATACATCTAAACAAATTTGTTATAAACTTACCTAATATTTCCAAATTTTGAACAAAATACTAAAAAATTTGAAAAACTTCGGCAAAAGACTTTGAATAACTTCGAAAAGCGACTTTGAACAAGTGTTAGCAAAGCTTCACTTACTGATATGATGAGAAAGACGACAAAGAATTGAACTATTTAGTTTTCAAAATCTGAACAAAATACATAAAAGTTACATATGTATGTTATAAAAAGATATGAACAGATATGTTATAAACTTATATATATATTTGTTAGTAGAGCTGAACATATCTGTTAGAAACTTACATATTTTTTCAAACCCTGAACAAAATACATAAAAGTTTGAAAAAGTTCGACCAATGTCATGTTCTCTTCGTAAAACGATTTTGAAAAACATCTAAATAATTTCAAATTATGTATAAAATATAATATATCTTGAAGCTTATTCACAAAGAATTTCGAAAAACGACACAGATCATTGAAAATAATAAAAAATAAAAACTACGTTTAACAAAAAATATTTCAGCTCATCATAGATTTGTAATATTATCGCCCGATTTTGACCAACATGTTCAGATTTAGCAACACAGATTAAGAAATCGGGACGAATATTTTATTTTTCGATCATTACTGTTGGTCACAAAAACAACATTTCTCGAAAAAAACGGCTTACATCACTCTCAAGAAGTTTATCTCTATATATAGTCATGTTATCATTGACCTGTTTTATATTTGATTTTGGCTACCCTGAAAAATTAAGTGGACTTCTAATTAGGGCTTTTTTTTATCATTCAATCAATATATTTCTTTGTAGCCCAAAAATTGTCATTTTGTTCAAATGCCTTAAATATTTGGCACATATCATTATTTATCAACCAAATACAATTATTTATTTTGTAAAATTTTGCTGGTATTTTTTTAGTATTTTTTTTTAAATTTCCTATATGATCTATAGTACAAAATACAATAATTATTTAAACAATTAAAACCATTATATGTCTTAATTTGAAGATATGATTTGTAGTGATGAAAATTCTGTTGATAGAAAAACCACAAACGTTGTATATAAAAAATTGTTTAACAATATTTGATTATTATTTCTTAGAACATTTTTCCAATGATTATATTATGATTTTTACTATTGTTTATATATTTTTATTATTTTTTGTTCTATTATATTGTTTTCCGTGCAAGTGCACGGGTTAAAAACTAGTAATATTCAAACACAAATTACAAATTTCGACGAAAATTCATACAGTAAAAAATCGTTGAAAAAATAACCGTTGGAATCTTCAAATTTCATCCAATATTCCAATGAAAACCCTATTCCGGCATAACATTTTCGTTGGAAATTCCGTTGGATTTATTATAACGGAAGCAATGATATTGGAATATCCGTTGGAATGTCTACTTGAATATATAACCGTAGGATTTTCTGTTAGAATATAACAATATTTTTTGCAGTGTTATGTTATATATTTATGCTACTTTATTGGAACGATAGAGGTATTATAAAACGCATAAAGTGCAAAAAGAAAACCAGCCAAAGGCTGAAAGATACAACCAACAGCTAAATAGACTGAAAGACAAACCCGAAGATAGCCTAGAGTTGGACCTATCAACGCTAGAAAACAAAACACAACACTACTACAAGACAAAACACAAAACTAAAAGATCCCAACGTACAGGATAATGCCCGAGTGAGAATCTATCCGAACAGTAAAATAAACCAATCACCTGGGAGAACATCAGAGGCCAAGAGCCCAAACAAAAAATAAAGACCTACAAACATGCCAAAACTAAACAGAACAAAACAAATACTACACGAAACAAAGCAAAACGAAACAAAACATAAAATGAGATCCCTTCCCACAGCGAAAAACCACACCGAGCACAATAATGCTAGAGTCTCGGCCCAGGATCCCCACCCAGAAACTGCAAGAGAACGCCTACCTGTGTCGAGAACCGACGGGCCCAACCCTCATCCAGTCGAACAACCCCACTGCGACCTGGAGACGAACACACCCAACCAAGCAGTCAACAACAATGGCCCGAGCCTCCAGCATAGCAGCCCAGCCCTTCGATCGCCATCGACCGCGACTCTAACGCCCTGCACCAAGACCAAAAAAAGGAAATTGGCCGGAGCACTGTCTCCACCCCAAACCCCAGATCAGAAAATTGGGGTCGCAGCCACCTCCAAGAGAGCGCCAGAGGACCGCGCTAGATACCGAAGGAGAAACAGCCACCCGCCACTCACTCCCAGCACCGGAGGCGAAAATCGAAAAACGGGCAGGACCATGTCCCAGCGAAAAAGCCCCCTACCTTGCGGCGCAACTCTCAGAAACAAGCCGCGAGGCCCAGTAGAGCCACCATCGTGCACTCGCCAAGCCCTACCGGGGAAGGCGATGGAAATTTCCGACGGGAAGTTAGGGATTGAGGGTTTGGGGCAAAGAAGGCGACGGGGAAATGAAGGAGGATATTAATAAAACCTTTTACTAAGTCATATTTTAATCAAAACTTATATATTATTTTATTTTTTAGGCGTGATTTTGAAATTATTTGTTGGTCAAATGATGCTACCAATTTAATTTTATTTCTGATTGTTCATATTTTGTTATGAAGAGTTGAAAAGGAATTGAACAATAATAATGTTATACATTGTGGAAATATAAAATAAATTAATTGAACTTAGTTTGATATCTCCTTGAATTCAGATATTTTAGTCCAAAGTACAGTATTTTTCCTGATCATTTTTATTTAAACCTTCATTAACAGTCAAATCTATTTATCAAATAATATATAAAGATTTCAACTTATTGGCCACAAGAAAGAAGGGAAATCTGCAGAAAAATCATAATCAATTAGAAAACTCAAAAGAATTAATTCCTTGAATCAAACAATATTTACAAATCAAAATCAATCAATGTGCATATTATTACTGGCCTAACAATTAGACTGTCTTATACACACCTTTTCGTTTCGTTTCAGTTTGTTTCTCAATAGACAAAACCTAACTAGCTCGTCGGCAACTCATAACGGCACACGGGACAATAATGGCTCGTCCGAAGCCACTTGTCGACACAATCCTCGTGAAAATCATGCCCGCACGGCATTCCGACCACGTCACATCCCTTCTCGAACTCGTCCATGCAAATCACACACGAGCCGCCAATCGAGCCATCGTCCCACGCCCTTTTCCCCACAACCATCGCGTCTCGTATACACGTCTCATCAGTCGGGACCGTACGAACCCCCTCCATCGACTGGTCAATGACATCATCATATAGATCATCGTATACATCGTCATAATCGTGCGCGGCACACCTATAGTATTCCGCATCCACGTGGAATTCCACCTCGAGCCCGCCGTGGGCCCGGGCTTCTGTCGGGCCCACGTGCGAGACGGCTTCTCGGGCCCCTGCAAGGAGCGTGTTCGCCAGGAACTTGCAGCCCACGTGTGGAAGGCAGGGCCAGCGGGCCTGGAGAAGGGCCCGAATGGCGCGGCGGGATGGGCCGGGTCGGAGGAGGCCGGTGAGCGGGATGTGGTGCTGGAGCCAGGGGAGGGGGTAGTTGATGTCGGGTCGGGATTCGGGAAGGGCTGGGCGGGTCGAGGACGGTGTAGCGGAAGACGCCGGAGAGTATGAGGCGGACAGTGAAGTGGGTCGGGTCGGAGATCGGAGGGCCTTGGAGGAGGAGGATCCGGCGGGCGGTGTTGACGGAGAAAGTGCAGGGGTAATCGGAGGGATTATGAGCCATTGGCGTAAATTTTTATTGCTCTTTTTTTTCTTTTTTCTAATGAAGGGACTGTTATTATTATATTATTATATATAGGGAGTAGTGGAGACTAGAGAGAGGTTTATTTGGTTTTTCTAATTGGAATCGGGTTAGGTTAACAGACGGGCAAGTTGGATTTATAATAGGAAATATTTTCCAGCAATGTATTAGTTATATAATATTTCTTATATATATAAAGTTTTAGCAATTTAAAAANTATTAAACTATTGTAAGAAATCAATCCATAATTCCTAATATATAAAAATAAAAGAAGAAAAGTAAGTACTTGCAATAAAACTGAAAGTTTTTATTTTTTAAAATATTAAATATTGAACTTTATTTACTACATATGAAATTAAAAGAAATATAAAAATTAAATTAAGGAAAAAATTAGATAAGAACATGTTAATTGCGTGTAGAAAGAAAAAAAAATAATGTCAAATTACAAATCTATATCTATATATATATATATATATATATAATAAGAATTACCATTTACCAAAAATAGTAAGTAAGAAAATCTAACAATATTAATTGCATGCCATTTTTGGAGATTTTTTTAAATTTTTTTAAACATCAAATTGGCAAGCATTAAATACAGCTAAAAATTGTGGATTTGGAAAACAAAAACCGTAATAATAGCTTCACAAATTTCACGCATGTTTCCTAAATTATCGCATTGTATTTTTTTTTCTTTATTTTTTGTGTTTGTATACATCCGTAATTGTGAGAAATTAGGATACATCTATAATTAATGTATAGTCGAGTTATACTACCAATAGTTTCAATAAATAAAAATGCTTAAAACTTACAAGTATAATTTTATAATTCAATGTTTTTTTTCAATATAATACATAATTTACAAATAGTAACTTTAATTATTTTTCTTTTTTTTTTCTTTAAAAAATCATACAGTATTAAATGCTACCTTAAATTTCGAGCTTTAGTTTATTTTATTATTTAAAAAATCCAGCTAAGATCTATTAAGTGTGTACATTTTTATTTTATTTTTTTATTTTTCGTAGAAACAACGAACAACATTAAAATTTCAGTCTTTATATTTAAAAATCTCAATTCAAAATATAGCAAAAGTTTTGTAGAGTCTCAGTCTTTATAATTGTGTCTTTCAAATAAAAAATATTGAATGCTAAAAATATTCTTTAAATTTCGTAATCTATCAATTAATCTTAATTTTTTAAAAATTACTATGTTTATTTTTTACTAATACACATAAAGAAAAATAATTAATTCAACATTAGATATATAATTTATAATCTTACTATACTATCAGTTGGTTTATACATTTATTATATGATGAATCATTAAATATTTTTATTTCATAAAATTAATATATTTAAATAAAATATAAAAAATTACTTTGGATCAATCGATGATTACTGTCCAGGTTGATTGAATCACTTTTACGTGATATTTAAAATAGTAAAAAAATTGACACAACTTGGATGGTCCCAAGTGACTAAGTTAGGTATCAGTTTGACCATACCAAATCGACATTTGAACCTAAATATAAATTTTAATATTGAAAATACTTTATTACGTGAATGTGATGTAGTCCAGTTGTTCAAACTTCAAATAATCATATTAACAATACTTTTGTGACAACATGTTTAATGATTAATATTTATACGATCAAGTTATTCTATTAAATTATTTTTGGTTTGTTCAGATTCTAATTTATAAACATTTTAATATATATAGAGTACTTTTTGTAGTAATTTTAAATAAAATGTGTTACTTAAATATCTAAATAATTTATAAATTCAAATGTTTAAACTAATTGATAAATAATTTATAAATCTCTATTTTATTTAAATATGTACTTTTATTTAAAATAATTTTAAAATGTAACAAAATTTATTTAGAAAATCGTATCGATTGTACCATTCCAACTGATTGGTGCTGATGGATTCGATAGCAAATATTTTATTCAAGCGAACTAGACTGGTTATAAAGCGGTTCTCGGTCCATCCAGTCAGACTGTGTCCAACCCAATTTAATTTAAAAATAATTGGGTGAATCAAGATTAATGTTATTTATATATTTAATTTATGATATAATTATAATATTATTTTTTCGTGCACGAGCCACATACTAGTTAAATATAAAAGGCAAAAACAAAAAGAAAAATGTTCCTTCCCCCGCCATGTACTCACTCCCTTGCCTACTCCCTGATATTTAGGCAGTACAAAAGATGTGTTAATTTTAAGTATATAATTAATAAAGCAAAAATAAAGATAATAATATAAATATCAGGGATAATAATTTAGGTTCACTCATGAATTTTCTAAAAACACAATGTTGAGATTTATTTTTCGTTTTATTTCTGTTTTTTTACATCTTTTTTTATTTTAGTTTTTTTTTTTAATTTTTTGGTGGGTCAGGTGTGGGGAGTTAAATAAAGATAATAATTTAGGTTCACTCATGAATTTTCTAAAATATTTATATTATTATTTTTATTTTTGATTTATTAATTATATGCTTAAAATTAACACATCTTTTGCATTATTAGGGACTAAATATCAGGAAGTAGGCGAGGGAATGAGTACATGGTGGGGGAAGTAGCATTTTCCAAACAAAAAACTTAATATAGAAATAAAAAAAGTGGGAGCCATCCCCACATGGGGCTTGATGGATGTGGGCCAAAGTCCTTCACGCCTCTTTTTCGCCATTCGTTTCACGTGCATTCATAACAGTTGTAGTGGCTACACGTGTGATGCAATTTTTTGTATTTGAACTTCTTTATTATTTTAAAGGAATGAATATATAGGAGGTTTAAGGAGGTTTGGAAAGACAAACTTGTGTTGTGTCTTTAAACCTTAGGATTCCCTACTATAGTCCATAAACCTCAATGTTTGTATTTATAAACCTTGTTCAAAAGCCCTTGTTAAAGATGTTCTTAGTTTTTGAGTTTTTTGTGGAAAGTCACTTTTATATGAACTTGTATGTTGATTGGTATCTCCTTGATTTGAGATATTTAGGCCAAGTAGTACTCTTTTTCATGATAATGTTAGTTAAAAACCTTCACGAACAATCAAATGTTCTTATCAAATAAATTATAAAGATTTCAACTTATTGGCCACAAAAAAGAAGGGAAATCTGCAGAGAAATTCTAATCAATTAGAAAGCACAAAAGAATTCCTTGAATCAAACAATATTTACAAATCAAATCAATCAATGTCCATATTATTTACTCGCCCAACAGTTAGACTGTCTCATACACACCTTTTCGTTTCGGTTCAGTTAGTTTCCCAATAGACAAAACCTAATAACTAGCTCGTCGGCAACTCGTAACGGCACACGGGACAATAATGGCTCGTCCGAAGCCACTTGTCGACACACCCCTCGTGAAAATCGTGCCCGCACGGCATTCCGACCACTTCACATCCCTTCTCGAACTCGTCCATGCAAATCACGCACGAGCCGCCAGTCGAGCCATGGTCCCACGCCCTCTTCCCCACAACCATCACGTCTCGTATACACGTCTTGTCAGTCGGGACCATACGAACTCCCTCCATCGACCGGTCAATGACATCATCATATAGATCATCGTATACATCGTCATAATCGTGCGCGGAACACCTATAGTAGTCTGCCGCCACGTTGAATTCCACCTCGAGCCCGCTGTGGGCCCGGGCCTCCGCCGGGCCCACGTGCGAGACGGCTTCTCGGGCCCCAGCGAGAAACTTGTCCGCCAGGAACTTGCAGCCGCCGCGCGAAATGCAGGGCCAATGGGCCTGGAGAAGGGCCCGAATGGCGCGGCGGGCCGTGTCGGGTCGGAGGAGGTGGGTGACGGGGATGTGGTGCTGGAGACAGGGGAGGGGGTAGTTGATGTCGGGTCGGGAAGGGTTGGGCGGGTCGAGGACGGTGTAGCGGCAGAAGCCGAAGAGTTTGAGGCGGACAGTGAAGTGGGTCGGGTCGGAGATCGGAGGGCCTTGGAGGAGGAGGATCCGGCTGGCGGCGTTGAGGGAGAAACTGCAGGGGTAACCATAGGGAATCTNAAATTTTTATTGCTCTTTTTTTTCTTTTTTCTAATGAAGGGACTGTTATTATTATATTATATTTATGTAGGGAGTAGTGGAGACTACCAGACTAGAGAGGTTTATTTGGTTTTTCTAATTGGAATCGGGTTAGGTTAACGGATTCCAGCCATGTATTAGTTATATAATATATATGTATAAATTTTTAGCAATTTAAAAACCTAAAAAACGTTACAATTCATATTTGTGCATTTGCACAAATATAAATAAATTATTGTGAGTCTGTATGCATATAATGATTAATTATTTTTCTTTTACTTTTTTGCAGACCAAATTTACAATTAAAAGAATTGGAATATTTTTATTTAAATTGCGTTTATCTGATTGGATGTAATGTATATTTTGGTACGTCTTTTATTTGTGAATTATTTATTATTTATCTAGGAATTTCAAATATATTTTTTATTTTTTTTAAAAAAATAAATGTAACAACAATAATAACATCTAATCACATTATACGGTCAACACATTATATGGTCAACTGTCATTAATAAAAAATTTAAAATAATTTTTGTAATTTTGAAGTAATGAATATTAACTATTTAATGATTAAATGAAAGATTAAATACATCAAAATGTAACGGTTTTTGGAGGGAAAATTGTTAAATTGCCACATAGGTAAAATTAAATAGGTTTTATTAAATGTTTTGAGCTAGTAATTATATATATATAGATNGTCAAATATAACGCCACCGATTTATTTTTATCTCTGATTGTTCATTTTTTGTTATGAAAAGTGATTGAACAATAATGTTACATAGCGAAAATATAAAATGAATTTAACTGAAAAAAAAAAAAATCTTCATCCATCTCTTCTAATGAAAATCTGCACCTCCATGCTAACAAAAAATATAATTTATATATATATATATATAATTTTTAAGGATTATATATATATGTACATATATATGCTATTTTATATTGAAAATATGCATAATAAGTACAACAAAAAATATATATATACAAATTTTATAAACTAAAAACCTATTAATAGTTTATCTAGTAAAAAATATTTACCATAAATAAATATACATTATTTATTTAAAATAATCTAAAAACTATAAATAGAATATATATATAGTAGTCGGATCCGTGTCTGTCCCAACTTCGAGTAGGTTGGAAACTTAGTTAATTAATTAATTGTACAAAAGTTAACTTGGATTAATGTACGGTTTAAATTACACAATTTCTCCGATCAATATTTTCAAATTCGGCCCGATAATTGAGCCGGGCAGACTTTTGGGTCACTGTGTCAATTACTGAACCGAATAATAAATTCTATTTTTTTTATAATATATATTTATTATTTCATTGTTAATATATATAAAAATTATAAAATTAAAAAAAGAAGAAAAGATATCTCTTCCTCTCTCCATATCTATCACCAAAAATACTTCTCTCTCTCATTCACAGAAAAACTTTATCGGACGACGACGATGATTTTCTCTCCGAACATAAAATCGAAAAAAAAAAAAGAAAATAAGTTGTTTGAAGACACCAAGAAGAAGAGGGTTCGTGGAAAAAAGGGGAAAGCGAAAATTGTGGATAAATCCGATTCGGATTTTAAATTTGATGAGGAGGAAGAATCATATTTTAAGGAAGTGGTTCCGGATGTATTAAACGACCACGAATCGGATATCCCAATGTTTGACCCAAAAAACCTAAGCGTCGACGGGATTTTTCGAAAAAACGACAGTTGAAGAAAAAAACGGCTACACACCAAGCAACAGGAGACATCGAAAATTCTACTCAAAAGATCAAGGTAGTTATTTTAATTATTATTAATTTATATATTTCGAACACATGTTATTGTTATATGATACGTTTTTAGTTTTTTCCCTGGTGTGGGTTTTTTTTTTTTATTGAAACTGTTGTTTATGAGGGTCTCAAATTTTGTATTGTTAATTATTTTTATTTCGTTTATCTGTGTTTCATTTTGTTGGTGATTAGATACACATTAAAAAATAAGCAAAAAAATTGGAGTCGGGCTATGTTGAGTCATACAAAATTGGAGAAGCCAATTTTGTATAAAACTAACAATGACAGATAAATAAAAAGAGTGACCAAAGGAGAAAAACAATAATTGGTTATTGTTGTACCTTGATTAAAGGCTTTAGTTTTATCATTGTATTGATGAAAATCACGGATGTGTTTGACCCAAAAAGATGTAATATGGTGATATCCTCACGAATTTGATATTTATATGTTGTTTATCTTTTGTAAATATATTTATTTTTAGATACTAACACAACATATTTATCTTACGTTTATTTACCGTATATCTGAATATCTGTTTGGTAAATTATTAATTCTAATATATCAGCTACCCATTCAATATTATTAATCTCTCTTCTTATTTGTCGAATATTTCATCACTCAGTTTGATATCCCGACCAACTATGATCCCGACACGGAGAGGCTGAGGTACTCATACTTGCTCTATCAACATGGTTGTATGAAGCAAAAAGACTCGTGTGAGAGCTATGATGAATCTCATGGGATACTAGATGATGTAGAGCGTGGAAAGCTCATGTCAGTTAGTTAGGATATGTCTTTTGATGGAGTTCTATTTGTCTTAATGTATGGATAGTTGAACCAAGTTGTTTACTATTGGCATGTTTTGTTGAATTATTTGTTTTTTTAGTGGAAATACCATGTATGAATATTCATGCTCTTATTCTGAATTTTTAAAGTACACGAGGTTAATCTATCAAAATGCAATGTTTGAATCGTTGTGTAATCCGATTCTCTTATTTGAATCTTACGCATTCATTATATTGCGCTTTAATATTGATTTGTTTACCTATTGTTTATTACAACGTGTAGTAAACTTATGTATTGTAAATATCTGTTCATACTAAATGTTAGTTATTATTCCATGTGTTTACTTAATGTTTATTTATACGTATAACCCATACAATTTACCCAAGCGTAGATTTAGAATTATCTTATATGTACAATTTAGATACGTTTGAATTACATCCATTTTTTTTAATTAAATACAATTGTACAATTATACTAAAAATAAACAAGTAAACAAATATAAAGGAAACGTCAACATGCTGTGCATATTATTAAAACTTAAATTTAAAACATAACACAATTATACTACAAACAACCACGTGGAACTAAGTTTGTTTCACTCTCCTTCGACCACAACTTCAAATGTTCTGGAGTTGTTTATCTCTTGGTTATCTTCCGTATATTTTCCTGTTTTCAGCATTGTATCTGCAACATATTCGACGAATACTCTGCAGAAACAATCAATTTCAGAATCATCCCGTGTCATTTCTAGACAACTTACTGTTGCTAAATCACACACAGACGGAGTCAAAGACATTGGCATTATTCTTCGAACGAGTGAGGTAGCATTTATTACTTGTTTTACAACCACACACAAGGGCAACTTCGCATAATCACACTCCTTCAACTTCAATAAAATATATAAATGCAAGCTATCGTCATCCACACTCATAGGTGGATATCCATAATTCACTTGATACTTTATATCAAGATCATTTCAATACGCGTTTATTTTCAGTTTATAAAAAACGATATCTCGGAGCTGATTGTAGTCACATAATTTACTAATCAAGATACCTCCGACTTGATAGTTCACGTATTCATTGTTGATCCACACCTTATTGTGATGTAAAAAAAACATTCACATCAGTCATGTTTCATGTAAAATAAACAGAATTACTAAGTAAATATTCCAGATTACAGGAATATCATTGTGTTTACTTACTGTATATATTACATTTAGATATACAAAAAGATGAGATTTGAAAAACTAATCAAGACGCATGAAATCAATGTTGATTCTGGTTCAAAAGCACAATGAAGTCGAAAAAAAAAANGCCGAGGCTCTGAAGTCCGCTAAGGGTAGCTAGCCCTTATCTCTACTCTAGCGCGAACTTTACTCTACTCTAATGAAACATTCGTCTCCAGCCCTTATCTCTACATTTTATTCTACATCAAATATATTATTTTTTATTCATTTTTATTTCAAATAATTTGGTATATATAAGTATATTTAATTGTATATAAATGTTTATTACCCAAATAATAAAAATGTATTTTATTTATTTTTATTTCAGATGAATTGGTATCAGTGGTTTGTGACCCGAACCGGCCCAACGAGTTGACCCGGGACCCGGTTGACCTGGAGCGGGAACCGGTCGGGGTGGGATATTTGGGCCGGGCAACAAAGGACCCGGTCAAAACCCGGCCGACCCGGGGCATTGACCCGATCGGGTCAACCCGGTTGACCCGGTCCATATATATATATATATATATATATATATGTATATATATATATTTTTTTTGTTTTTTAAAAATAAAACTAAGTATATATGTTTATATGGTAAATATTTATCATGAAATACATATTATTAACACTTTAATGTACAAATTTTATACACAAAACATTTAATTTTGTTACTTTTATGTATATTTATATGACAAAAAACTTTATATATAATTTTAAAAATTTTAATATTAATTATCCGGTTCAGCAATTGACCCGGTGACCCGACGGTTGAACCGATAACCCGAGGACCTGCCCGGATCGATTACCGGGACGGATTTAAAAACTATGATTGGTATATATTTTTATTATGTTGTTTTATTTGTGTATTTTATGATTCACATTTGTTGTAAACTTTTAAATTTTAAATAATACATTTTTATTATTTGGGTAATAAACATTTATATACAATTAAATATACTTATATATACCAAATTATTTGAAATAAAAATGAATAAAAAATAATATATTTGATGTAGAATAAAATGTAGAGATAAGGGCTGGAGACGAATGTTTCATTAGAGTAGAGTAAAGTTCGCGCTAGAGTAGAGATAAGGGCTAGCTACCCTTAGCGGACTTCAGAGCCTCGGCCATCCATACCCTAGTGCCGCTAGCACCCCCTAGCGCCTCTAGCACCCCCTAGCGGCGC